CTTCTGCAGATTAAACAATCCCAGTTTTTCAATCTTTCCTTATAGGTCTAAATTTTTATTCATTTTTGTTGCTCCCCTCTGGACTTTCTTTAATTTGTTCACATCCTGCTTGAAGTGTGGTTCCCAGCACTGGACACAGTATTCCAGTTGAGGTTTAAGTGTTGCAGAATACTGCAGAAGAATTACTTCGTGTGTCTTGCTTACAAAAGTCCTGCTAATCACTGACCTGACAAAAGGGGGGCAAAAGAGGGCAGTTGCCTTGGGGCCCAGTCATTCAGAGCTACTGGGGCAGCAGCAGCTGGAGCCCTGGCCCCTTTAAATTGTCGCTGGAGGGCCATGCCCCATGTTCCATGCAGCTCTGAGAGTTGCAGGGGGGGGGAGCACACCACCTCCGGGTGGCATGGAAGGTTGGCTGCCCCCAACCTCACCCCTTCTGCATGAGGTCCTAGCCTTTCCAGGAGCGCAGATCTGCCCCTCCTCCACGCCTTGCTGCCTAAAGGCCCGGGCAGGCTATTGGCTCCCCTGCTAATACGTTCCAGAATAATGTTTACTTTTCTTGGTAACAGTGTTACACCATTGACTCCTATTTAGTTTGTAATCTATTATGCCCTCTCTATGCCATTATCTAAATCATCAATGAAGCTATTGAACAGAACCAGACCCAAAACTAGTTCCTGTGGGACCCTACTTGATATGCCCATTCAGCTTAGCTGTGAAGCACAGATAACTACTCTCGTGGAATGATTTTTCCAATCAATTATGTACTTGCCCTGTAGGAGCACCAAGGAGGTGGTATGTCCATTGTTTGTTTATGAGATGGTCATGCAAGACAGTGTAAAAATTGAACTAAAGTCAAAATATACTAGAGCTGATGACTCCATGGGTGTTCTAGCCCTGGAGCACCCACGAAGAAAAAATGAGTGGGTGCTTAGCACCTTCTGCAGCACCTTCTCCACCCACACTCACACCTGCCAGTGGTCCCTGGCAATCAGCTCTTCCCTCTCTTTCCCCATGCCTCCTCAACACTGTGAAGTGGATGTTCTGTGGGATGCAGCAGGCATCAAGGGAGGAAGATGATCAAGGATGGGGTGCGCTTGGGGGAGAGGGTGGGAAGAGGTGGGAAAGAGGTCAGGTGGGAGTGTAATAGTGCCAGGAAGAGGTGGGGTGAGGCTGGGGTCTGGGGTGGAGTTGGGGCAGGAAGAGGTGGGACAAGGCAGGACAGGAGTGGAGGCTTTGTGGAAAGAGAAAATTAGAAGCCGGTGAAATATACCACATCTACCCCTTTCCTCATCAACAAAGCCTGTTACCCTGTCAGATAAATACAATCTGGCTGGCATACACTCAACAGACTGGACTTTGTGCCTCTCTCCAAACCTGTGCCTACAGATCAGTTTACACATAGGCTACATCTAGACTGCAGTCTTTTTTCACAAAAGCTTATGTAAATGAAGTGCAGAGTAGACTATCACTGTGCTTCATTTGCATAATTAATTAGCTGCCGTTTTTGCACAAGAGGCTTTTGCTCAAAAAGGAGCTATGTAGACAGCTCCTTTTTGTGCAAAACCTCCTTCTTGCGCGAGAGCCGTTCTTCCTGGAAAAATGAGAAAGAATGGCTCTTGCACAAGAGGGGGTTTTTGTGCAAAAAGGAGCCGTCAACACAGCTCCTTTTTGTGCAAAAGCTTCTTTCACAAAAATGACCCCTAATTAATTCTGCAAATGAAGCGCAATATTCTACTCTGCACTTCATTTACATAAGCTTTTGTGGAAAAAGGCTGCAATCTAGATGTAGCCCTAGAGTTCTTCTGGAAGTACTTTAACAAAAACAAACAAACAAACAAAAAAACCCACCAACCAACCAGCCAACCAAAACAGGAAAAGGCCATGTCATCTGGAGTACTCCCTTAAGAAAAAACTTAGTTCATTAACCTCTTCTTCTCTTCTGCTTTGTCTTTACCCCTTCTCTTTCATTCCCATCTTATTGGTTTCAGTATTGCATCTAAAAAAAAACAAAAAACCACTTGCTGCAAAAAGGGGCAATGCAAATGGTGAGGGGGGATGGGACAGGAGAGATGAAAAAGATGGACATTTCATCTTAGAGAAGAAAGAAGTAAGGAGGGCTATGAAAGAGATTATAAAATCTAGAACTGGTTGGAGAAAGTGAACAGGGAAACATCATTTACTCTTCACATACTCGGCTACCCCCTGAAGCTCCTCAACAAATTAGAGGTCACCCAATGAAATTACTAGGCAGCAAGTGTAAAGCAAACAAAAGGAAGTACTTTTTCACACACGAGTTCCACCTAATGTATCACTGAAGTGGACATACCACCGATAACAGATGACAACTGGCTTAAATCTTTCAACTATTGTACATTAGCAATGCATTCTGCATTGTTTCTCAAGGGGAGATTTCCTTCCCCCCCTCTTTTAGCATGTCATAGTGTTGTGGGATATATTTAGATCTGCTAACACCAGCATCTTGTGTACATTCTGCTATATAAAACTGGTAGTAGTCTCTGTTCAGTCCAGCAGCTGAGAAATAGAGTAGGCACATTCTAAAATACACTAGGATTAATATTTGATCACTAGATGTATAGATGTAAAACAATTCACACCGACATGACTATAAATTGCTGTTAATGCCTGATACACTTCCTACTAAATCGCCCATCACCTCAAATATTTGATATAGCTATATTGAATTGGCTGTATATACAAAATTAAAGATCCCATTTTGCAGCTAAAACATTATCTACTGTAAACCATTTCAATATTGAATCAAGTTCACCTGCCTCACTGAATGAACAGAGTATTCAAGCTATTAAATTCACTCATGCAACTATATTGTATTCCACTAAGCACCATGCCTTATATAGCACAGTAGCTAGTGAAACCATGAAATCATTTAGCAAAATAAATTAATCAACTACTGAAGTGAAGACAGTGATGTTCAGGGACGGGATTTAGGATGAAATCACTTTGTCAGCATTGGGAAGCATGGAAAAGTCCTCCAGGATATGTCTATACTATAGCCAGGAGTGTGCTTGAGCTAAAAATACAAACATAGCAGCAGGACTGCTGACAGAATCAGGCCCCTGAGCAAGGAGGGACACCCCAGCTCTGGGCTCCAGAAGGGACAAGGCTGGGGGCTAGTCTCCTCCAACCAGACTTCGGTTCTGCCTGGCCCATGCCGGGCAGGATTTTGGCAGCAATTTAAAGGGCCCAGGGCTGTGGACAGTACAGCTGTTGTGATAGTGGTGGCTGGGAGTCTCAACCCCTTTTGAATTGATGGGCCCTGGGGCAGTTGCCGCTTTCCTCCCCCATTGGAAGCCCTGTATAGCCGTGCAGATGAGGGGAGTTAGGCAGTGATTTGGCCTCGGCATACAAACTTGCCCAACCCCCCAGATACATATTCAGCCTCTGTGCCTGGGCTACACGGCTATTTTTAGCCTGCTACCATCAGGGCTGATCCACAACATTTTGGCACCTAAGTCGGGGAGCTCAAATGACACCCCCATGCCCCCATGGGCCAAAACTTTGAAAGGTCTCAATTCTGTCCTCTTCCTGGTCTACTCCTCTCATGGTACTGCAGAGAGAATACATATGTACTAGCAGCAGACACAATTTTCTACACTCTGGGTCCTAGTGGTGCTCTTCCACAGTCTGGCCCCTGAGGCAGCTGCCTCAGTTCGCCTCATGGTAAGGCCAGCCCTGGCTACCTTGAGCAGAACTAGTGCATGTCTGTCTGCCCGAGCTGGGAAGCATTTTCTTAGCTTCCTTGTAGATGTATTTCAAGTCAGACATGGCTCTATGTCTTCAGACAACTTCAAAAAAAAAAAAGCCCCTTCTTGATGAATAGCTTATAACGTAGCTGCCATTAGGCCAGAACCAGTCCTGGTGCGTCTTTGTTGAAAACAAGAAGAACCCCACTGAGGTCAAATCTGTTTGGGCTTTTAAGTTTTATTTTTACATTTTGTGAGTTATGGAGGACACCACACACACACAGTCTTTGTTACACAAGAGTAAAAACACATAAAAACAAATAAGGAAAAGTGAAAATGTAAATATGAGAGACGGTTTTAATTTAAAAGATCAGCAGCAACTCATCCCTATGGAGAAGGTGCAGGCTACCGTACTCTCTGATCCACTGCTTCAGAGATCTGGGCATCCAATATAATGAGTCAATGCAGCTTGCGTGCATAGAAGTTACAACTGCCATTGCCCATGGAGCTTCTTCATTTTGAGAAATGGACTACAGCTTTTCCTCTCCAGAATCAGTTGTGTATATGCCTCAGAGTCATAGGGAAGGGAAGTTACAAGTGAAACAAAATGGCTATGTCTAGACTACATCCTTTTTTCGGAAAAGGGACGTAAATTAGATGCAATTGCTAATGAAGCGGGGATTTAAATCTCCCACACTTCATTAGCATAAAAATGGCTGCCACTTATTTTTGGCACAGAGCTTTGTCGGAGAAAAGCGCCAGTCTAGACGCTGATCTTTCAAAAAATAAAGCCTATTTTGAAAGATCCCTTATCCCTTATTTCATAAGGCAGCCATTTTTATGCTAATGAAGTGTGGGAGATTTAAATCCCCGCTTCATTAGCAATTGCATCTAATTTACGTCCCTTTTCCGAAAAAAGGATGTAGTCTAGACATAGCCATTTTGTTTCACTTGTAACTTCCCTTCCCTATGACTCTGAGGCATATACACAACTGATTCTGGAGAGGAAAAGCTGTAGTCCATTTCTCAAAATGAAGAAGCTCCATGGGCAATGGCAGTTGTAACTTCTATGCACGCAAGCTGCATTGACTCATTATATTGGATGCCCAGATCTCTGAAGCAGTGGATCAGAGAGTACGGTAGCCTGCACCTTCTCCATAGGGATGAGTTGCTGCTGATCTTTTAAATTAAAACCGTCTCTCATATTTACATTTTCACTTTTCCTTATTTGTTTTTATGTGTTTTTACTCTTGTGTAACAAAGACTGTGTGTGTGTGGTGTTCATGAACAGGAGAGCAGTGGTATGAGATGGTGTTGCCTACTAGAGGGCAGCAGACCCTTGCAACTAATGCCTGCCAAAGATAACCAGAAATATGTTGTTTTGAGACATTTTCATAACAACTTGAAAACCGCATCAGTAGCAGAGGAACCAACTCCAGGATCAATAGTGATAGGGGAAGAGTTTTGTAAGCTACACTGAGGAGTGGTACTGGGGATTTCCAAACAGACTTAATTTTAAAAGAAATGTTGTGGCTGGATAGTATATTTAAATCATAATGAAAGCAGTTCAAGGTCATTGTTACTCCTTACCCATCCATCAGAAATGTATTGTTTTGTATTTGAGTGGCTTTGATTAATGGTGCCAGTTACATATATGCTGATTATAGAACTGCCATATAATAAAGTATAACTTGCTAAATAACCAGTTATGTATTAATATATTTTTGAAGGATTAGTAGTGTTAGTGTGCATTTGTAATCATAGCTATTAATAATAATTTCCTGTTTCTAAGGACATACTCCAGTAAGCTTAATTTTCAGCGTATGAAACACATACAGATATTTAAGTGGTTAGCTATTTGTATGGGAGCACTTGTTTTTGGACTGAGAAATCCAGGAGAACTTAGTCATGGTTCTATCACTATTGCACTCAAGCTGTTATTAAAGAAAACCTTTCCACCTCTTTCTTCGCTGCATTCAGGTTTTTTGAGTTCTTCCATTATTTCATTTTTCAGATCAAGAGGAGCAGTTTTACTAAAATAGCAGGTTTCTGTCAAAAAATCCAACAGCAGCTCCCCCTCTTTGTTTCCTGCAATAAAACAACTGGTTATGTCCATAGTGGATGGAAGTTCATAGATCTGATACTTCAGCCCTATTATATCAAGTTGCTCTTTGATGTCAGCAGATGAAACATATAAGCAAAGATCATTTAGAGGTAAGCGAGGTCCATATTTCTTCCACAGCTGTGCCCAGCCGCTGGTTCCTGGCAGAGAAATCATATTAAAACCTCTTAAAAAGAAGAGTATTTAGTTTCAGATGTATTATTCTAAGCATTATAGTCCCAACTCTGAGCTGAACCTTTCAGAGGCCCAGCCTAGGAGATACAGCTCAGGACATGGGAGCACAGATGCTATATTGAAAACTAAATGGGTGAAACCACAGTGGAGCCAATGCAGTCTTGGTGGTAATGGGGGGGTGAGGGAGGAGAAAGGAAAAATGCAGAACACAGAGATCTACACCCCTTGCCTCTGCTTCCCTTTTATCAATGCACAGTGGGGCTTGAAGGAAAGGATAGGATGGATTCACCCGCAAAATCCCCACTCACAAGGCAGCTTGTGAGGCCTCAGGGAGGATTCAGCTGGGAACCTCCTTATGCAAAAATTCATTAAAGGCCTGATCCTGTTGCTACTACTATCAATGACAAAACTGCTACGAGGCAGGATTGGGTCCTTACTAGGGCTATCTAGAAGACTTGTGTCTGAAAAAATATAAGGATTATCCATTAATGTTAAGGCTTTTAAATGTTGGGTTGTATCTGATATTTATAGGGTTAGGCTGTACAAGTTGTTGAGAGCCCAGAGTAAAGGATTGTGCAGAACCACACCATTTATGGCTAGGGCAAAATTCTTTCTTGGAGCTGCTTAGGGTACAGTGTGAGTATGGCTGCTGCTACATCCCTTCAGTCCCATTACATGGGCAGGCAGGGGACAGAGGCTGGTCCTTGCCCACTTCCCCTTTGCAGGGTAGACAGATAAATTGGGTCCTGCAATTTTGGCTGGGTCTTATTCAGACTGTATAAGGGGAAGGGAGGAAAGGCTCCTATAGCCTTCCCCAATCCTGCACATGCATGTAAGGACGAGCCACAGGATGGCCCATAGTGATCACAAGTTTGTATGTACATACATTTTTACAGCAACAACCTACTTTCAATGAACAAGGTACCAAGACAGTGGACATTAGAAAAAGAACAGCCAGGGGAGCCGAAGACAATGCAGGACTGATTTCTTTCTTCTCTCTAGTCTCAATTCCATGATTCAGCATTTCCAGTGTAAATCATTTATAAAAAGGATGACACTACCCTGAGTAGGTGGGCTGGAAGTAAATACAGGTCTAATTGAAGACCTGCTGAGAGACAGGACTCTAAACTCCCTTAACTAATAAACCATTCTCAAAAACTGGCTTTATCGGTGAAGTTACGTACAGTATAATAAATACTCCAGTGCTTTAGAGGAGACTCTGATGATATTTTTTCACCTGTTTGAAAATGAGTGTAGAACACTAATTGCAGAAAAGTTGCTGCTTTCAGTGTTCAGTGACTTGGTGCCATTTCTGAGCTGTGCAATTATACCCTACCTGAGTGAAGCATTATTCTAATAGCTCTCTGTAGGTGCAACATATGGCACTACTGTTGTTTTCAAGATAATGTAAATGGAATGGGGGCTTTTTGATTTGCGATTAAAAAAATTACAGTTTAGCTCTTGTAGTTCTCCCGGTCTCTCAAAACATACAGAGTGGGGAAAATTGAAACCTTCCTGGGGTGACCTTTTTATAAATGCTTTTGCCTATTTATTGTCCTGTAACTTTCCCATCTCACCATTCCTTATCTGTTTCATTCCCTCTCTAGTTCTTCTCCTTCCCTTAGTTTTTTTTTTTATTATTATTATTATTATTATTATTATTATTATTATTATTATTCTCTGCTATTCTAAGCTGCCTCTGATTCAGTTTTTTTCTTTTCCTTGTTGGTTCCATTGTTTTCTGCTCTTCTCTGTTCTTCCTTTCCTTGCCACCAGTTTGCCTCTCTGGAGTAACAGGCCACTCTAGTTTTGTAATTCCACCCTAGAGACTCTTGTTCTGACTTAGGCTAGAGGACTGGCCTATCAAAAATTGTGTGACATAACTCAGATTGCAGAAACATCAATCGTTACCATGCACATAGTTTTCTGAGGGCAGTCTACACATGCTGGCAGATCGACATAGCTGTAATCAATGCAGCAGCTGGAGATTTAGTGGGTCTGGTGAAGACATGCTAAATAGATAGAGAACACTCTCCCATCCATTTGTGTTTTCCACCTTTTTGAGAAGTGTAAAGGAATCAATGGGAGACACTCGCTCGCTGACACAGCACAATACAGCCAATGTGTAGCTCTAAATACGTCGACTTCAGTTACATTCTTCACGTAATTGAAGCTAGGTAAGTTAGATTGATTTTTATGAGGGTAGTGTAGGCCTAATAGTACTAATTATGGATGTGGATTGACTCATGCAATTGTGAATTATGAGTTGCATTTTCAAAGAGAAATTCAATAAGGAATTAGACCATGAACAAAACTGCAACAATGTATGAGGACTGCAAATATCTTCTGCAATTAGTTCAAATTTGTAAAAGTTTCTTTTGACTGTGTTCAGCCCCCATTTTGTGTCTGCCTCCCATGAATGTTCTAGTGAACATGTTCACTTGCAACTTGAAGGGAGTCAAGTAAATATCCCAGAACATTCATGGACAAGAAATTTCAAATTTAAATTCGTGAGTATCTGCACGGAACCTGATTTCAAGAGCTATTCTTACGGAATCAGGGGGCTGAAACGTGTTACTTGTGTGCATAATCAAAACTATTGTAATTTTAAATATGGAATACTTACATGGAACAGCTTGCTAACAAGCTACCAGCCAAAAATGTTTCACAAACAATTTTGAACAGTGAATTTCTGTATTGTCTGTAAAAACACAATTTTCTCAAACACAAAAAGGGATGAGCACCATTCTTTAAAATATATATTACAAGTTTGCTCAAATCTAAAGAGGTCCAGTTCCTCAAAGGTAGTTAGCTGCCTAGGGGCCCTGCTGAAGCAATCGTAGATTAATATTTACATGTCTTAGCATTGATTACATCTTACTATATCCTAGCATCATAAAATCCCATATACCTATGTGGGAAAATTTCCCAGAGAGTTATGTTAGACTCCAGTCATGGTAACACTAACATATTCATATTCATCTTATGTCACCGTACTGTAGAATTCTAATTTATTCTATGTTACCAGATTGCTACTGAATCGATCATACGGTATTTTCTATGTGAAATGGCCAATCTAATTCTGCAGATGAGATTTTTCCACAAAATGATGATATTAAGGAAATGGGCAGTTAAAGGGGAAAATAGACCATATGTCCACCAACACCTGTTATATGGCACAATAGAGCACCACTGCTGCTGTTTACTTAATGCCACATGTATCTAGGAGTTACCAGTCTCTCTGCTTCATCCTAATGCATGCATAGCTTCCTTGATATCAGTCGCATGATTCACTTGAGTAAGGGTGTCAGGATCAAGCCTGTTTGGTTCATTGTCTGTCTATTATGAGTTTATCATGATCCTTGTTGGTTTCATAGAAGGTATTGCAAAGAGAGACGTTGTGGTCAGAGAGAAAAAAAATTGACAACGTTTCCAAGATTCTGATTTGTGCATTTCAAAAAACTCTGTTTTTGTGGGCTTTGACATATAGGCTACGTCTACACTGCAGGCTTCTTGCTCAAGAACTGTTTTGCACCAGAGTTCTTGTGCAAAAGGTCTTCCACAAGAGCGCGTCCACACTGCCTTGTGCTTTTGCTCAAGAGATGTGCTTTTGCGCAAGCGCGTCCATGGCAGTGTGGACGCTCTCTTGTGCAAGAAAGTTCTGGTGGCCATTTTAGCCATAGGGGTTTCTTGTACAAGAAATTCATGTTGCTTGTCTACACTGCCTTCTTGTGGAAGAGCTCTTGCGCAAGACGAATTATTCCTCATGGGAAGAGGAATATCTCTTCCGTAAGAAGCCCTGTTTTGTGACGCTGTACTGTAAATTTACTTGCGCAAGAATGTGCGTGCAAGTCTAGGCACCCAGCAAGTTTTTGCACAAGAACAGCTGTTCTTGTGCAACAAGCCTGAAGTGTAGACATAGCCATACAGTATAATGTATATAAAACACAGATCTCATATACACACAGAAGCTCTGTCTTGTGGGCTGATAGTTCACTAAGCTAGAAGCTTAAGATCTACAGGACAGAAATTAAAGTAATGGAGAACTGGTCTGTAATGAACATACATGCATGCACACATGAACTTGCACAGACCTCAGAGATGTGCATTCAGTTCTGGACTGAGTGTGGAAAGAACCCACTTAAAATCACCTACCTGAGACGAGAATAATGAGCAGCTTAGCTTTAGCTTCCAGGAGACTGTGGAAGCTTAAGATCTACAGGACAGAAATTAAAGTAATGGAGAACTGGTCTGTAATGAACATACATGCATGCACACATGAACTTGCACAGACCTCAGAGATGTGCATTCAGTTCTGGACTGAGTGTGGAAAGAACCCACTTAAAATCACCTACCTGAGACGAGAATAATGAGCAGCTTAGCTTTAGCTTCCAGGAGACTGTGAAAGTATTGAATAGTCGCAGGGATATCTTTTACATAGTAGAGCATCTGGAAAGGAAAAGAAATATTTTAAAGCAAATACTCCAAGCCTGAGAGCTTTCCTTAGAGACTGATGGCAAATGCAGAGGTGTGAGCAGCCCCTGTGTGAAGCCAGAAAGCAGGCAGAAAATGAGCAGACAGTGGAAGCAGCCATGGGAGGGTGCCCCTAAGAGGAAACTGATGCTGTAGCTACACTAGAGAGCTTACAGCACCAATGAAGCTGCACTACTGCAGTTTTCAATGTGGCCACTCTAAGCGGATGGGAGAGAGCTCTGTCAGTTTCATTACTCCAGCCCTGGCAAGCAGCAATATCTATGTTGGCAGGAGCAGCTTTCAGCAACTCCTGTTATGTTGTATAGAGGTGGAAAAAATGCCTTGAAATAAGGGACTGTTAGCAACCCTAAAAGTTGGCTCATAAATAACTCAAGTGGGTTTACTACAAGCCCTGAGTAAGAGGCATCAGTTAGTTGCTTAGATCCACAATTTAGTCCCTGGTCCCCCCTTTGCTCCAGTAAGTAAGCTGCCACAGCCCTTAACTTGGTGCAGAGGAGGAAGTTACCAGCTCCAACTCAACTCTGAGGGCCAACATGATGTGGGGGAGTGCAGTGTATAAACTCTTCCCACGTCCCATGCATTTGCATGAGAGGAAGTGGCTGCTCTCATTCAGCAGCAATATGGGTACCCTGGACAGAGGAGTGAGGGGATGTCCTATGCCCTCTTTCACCTTACCTAGGTGTGTTGGGCAAGTGATGATCTTGCCCAAAGTGTTTTGTTCAGGTTTGCATTGAATATCTTTTTTAAAAAAATGAAACAAGAACTTCTATATAATTGCTGAAAGTTTTACTGGTGACACCATTTCTAGCCAATAAAAATAGGATGTGTCCAGAATAATGTAAGTTATGTACAATACACAGAGTGACTTCGGGATCAGACTTTATGAGTACTGTAGCATTTCTGCTCACCTGAGAGATCTCCATCACAGTGTGGGGAGTTTACTCTGCTGTGACTAGGGGTTTGGAACGGGTCCCATATGAGGAGAGATTAAAGAGATTGGGACTTTTCAGCTTGGAAAAGAGGAGATTAAGGGGGGATATGATAGAGGCATATAAAATCATGAATGGTGTGGAGAAAGTGAATAAGGAAAAGTTATTTACTTGTTCCCATAATATAAGAACTAGGGGCCATCAAGTGAAATTAATGGGCAGAAGGTTTAAAATAAATAAAAGGAAGTTCTTCTTCACACACACACCTGTGGAACTCCTTGCCTGAGGAGGTTGTGAAGGCTAGAACTATAACAGGGCTTAAAAGAGAACTAGATAAATTCACAGAGGTTAAGTCCATTAATGCCTATTAGCCAGGATGGGTAAGGAATGGTGTCTCTAGCCTCTGTTTGTCAGAGGGTGGAGATGGATGGCAGGAGAGAGATCGCTTTATCATTACCTGTTCGGTTCACTCCCTCTGGGGCACCTGGTATTGGCCACTGTCAGCAGACAGGATACTGGGCTATGGACCTTTGGTCTGACCCAGTATGGCCATTCTTATGTTCTAGTTTGAGTATAGTGTCCAGTTCTGAGCACTACATTTCAAGAAATGTGAAGAAATTGGAGAAGGTCCAAAGAAGAGCAACAAACATGATTCAAGGTCTAGAAAACATCACTTATGAGGGAAGACTGAAAGAATTGGGCTTGTTTAGTTTAGAAAAGAGAAGATGGGGAGGGGACATGATAGCAGTTTTCAAGTATCTATAGGGGTGTTACAAGGAGAAGGGAAAAAATTGTTCTCCTTGGCCTCTGAGGATAGGACAAGAAGCAATGAGCTTAAATTGTAGCAAGGGAGGGTCAGAGTAGTTAAACACTGGAATCAACTGCCTAGGGAGGTTGTGGAATCTCCATCACTGGAGATATTTATGAGAAGGTTGGACAGATGTCTATCAGGGATGATCTAGATGGTTCTTGGTCCTGTTGTGAGGGCAGGGGACTGGAGTTGATATCTCGAGGTCCCTTCCAGTTCTAGTATTCTTTGATTCTATCTCATTCTCAGTATGTCTGCTAGGGCATCAGTGTAGAAGCACTGACAACCTAAAAGGCCTGCTTTTTCCTTCTTACTTATCTAATTACCGTGCTTAGAAAACAAAGTAGGTGCCAACACACTTTGGGTCCAACTTTGCTCCCACTGAAATCAGCAGTAAAATTTCACTTGACTGCCACAGAAGTAGTACAGGTTAGGCATTTTATTTAATAAAAGTTGCCCCTCAAATGAACCTCTGTGTAATAGTTCACACTCCAGGAAAATGGTGTTAAGGTTCTGTAATTTTCTGAATGACACCACTAACCAGGTTGTGTGGTGATTTCATCACGGAAGTGTTTAATGTAATGTTTTTAAGATCCCCAAGATTCTTATGGCAATGTCTGGTTCACACACATCTCTTCATGTGACATCACTAATCATTCTTGGGCTTTATCTTCCCTAGCACCTTGTCTTTTATCTAATATAATAAGAAGTTACTAATGACTAATATAGATGAGCTATTCCAAGGTAAAAATACAGTGGAGACAAGGCACTGCAATTTGACCATCAAGTAAGGTCAAGCTCAAGCAAGGATACAGTGCTTACCTCACCCAGTTTAACTGATTGTGGTGCCTTGTCACCACTGTGTTTTTACCTTGGATTAGATCCCATATTAGTTACCCTAAGGGGGAAAATACACACATTTTAAACAGTGATGACACAGTCTATGATAACTTCAGTAAACCTAGAAGTACAAAGAGAATTTCACAGAGAGGAAATTTTTAAAAAACATTAGCTACCATTTATTTCTTTGATTGCCACCCTTAGCCTGAGTAATGAGGCTATTGGGCACTAAAGCGGCCTTGATGTTCCTTAGTTTTCATTTTTGCAGCTCAGTTATGCTTTAAGTACTTTAAAGAATTATAAAGAAATAAACTCACCCTTCTCCAGATTAAATTGCACTGTGAGGTCACATACCTTAAAGGCATACTGTTTAGAGCTGGATCCTCAACATTTACTCTGCATAATTTTTACCTGTATCATGTGAATGAATTCCCATTTCTTAAACTCTTTTTTCTCCTTGATTCGACTTTCATATTCAGACGACGTCTCCTTATGCCAGGTAAACTTTATGTTCTCAAGCTTTGAAGTCTTAGCGACACGTTCTAAAACACAGAGAGGATAGTGTCTAGTTGATCTCAATTGCAAATATGGAAACAAATTCCATTCAGAATTGTTGAACATGACACATTGGCATCATTGTTAATGGAATAAAAGGATATTAAAAATTAAGCCGATAGTACATGAAAAAATAAAGGTAATAAATAAGCCCAGTGGGAGAGTGATTGGTCAGACCTTTATGAGATGAAGTACAAATGGGAGCTGATGCTGTGCAAGACTTGCACTGGGTTCTCTTAGCTGTGGAGACTTTTCTGTAGAGATGAGTAAAAATTTGATAGCTTCATCTGGGTGCAACTTCCTCAAAATCCTAGACCCATGCTTTAGTCTGATTCATTACAGAAAGGGGAAACGTTTAGGTCCTCACCCCAACTGATCTAAATTATAAGTGTGTTCAGAGCCAGGCCTTTTGTTCAGGGTCTTATATTTACCAGTGAAAGAAAAAGAGGGTATTTTACAGTGATACTAATTACAGAAGAGTGATAAAAGAAATATTTGCAGCATTGTTTTAATGTGTGTACGAAGAGTGAATATTAGGAAGAGGGAAGTGTGTTTAAAGAGGGTTCCCTCTGATTCAAGAGTCACCACTGCAGTAATCCTGTTTTATGTATAACTACAGTACTGTGAGTAGTTATATCAGCCTACAGTAGCAGTATCCCGGTGGTAAACTCAGACTAAAATGTGCAACACTTATTCAGGATAGTTTGTTAAAATCAGCACTTTCACACTGCTAAACTGAGTATTTCTCTCTGACGGATTAGATGATGATATATCTGTGCAGAATAGATGAGAAATGCTCCAACAGTACTTGTATTTCTCTCCTTTACTTGTGGAGATGAGCCACCATTCTTGGATGCTACTGCTGCTGCTGTTACTCTGTCTCTTCCATTTACCAGTTATTGGCCTCCATGCCCACAGTTCAAATCTAATTTGCTATTTTAAACTCATCAACCATCTGGCAGCAATCCCTATCACCATCACAAATCTGGTACAATCTGGTTCAATTTCATAACTAGACAATCTGCAAGGAGACATTAACAAAACTGGATTACTGGCTAACCCAGACAGTGTAGTTCCTTTATGTAAAAATCCAGAAAAGTCAAACTGGTTTGGATAAAATAGAAGTCTCCACCTAAAAATTCATCTGAAACCCAAACATTCCCTTTAGCAGTTCTGCAAAGTTCTATTGATTCGTTTCCTAGTTTATCCCAGATTTGCATGGCAGTTCTCTGCTAGGGTCCTCTTCTTGGTTTCAGAAGAGAGAACAATTCTTGTAGCTTGAACTGAAGCTGGACATACAAGGTTCTTGGCAGTACAAAGGACCTTTAATGTGTAAACTAGAATCAGACCCACAATGTTCAATGGTTGTATACTGATAAGCAAACTCAGAAAGTAGCCACTCTAGAATTCCTCCACAGAGGGACTGTCAGTCATTGCAATCTAGGTGGAGACTTACTTGGAATCACAGCAAAGACACAAGTTCATCTAGGGTAATGGACTCATGTGGATTAATTTAGAGGACTAACTTGTCTATCCCAGAGAATGAATAGCAGACAAGGTTGTGACTTCTGAATTACCAAACAGAGTGCATTACCAATTCTCCAGGAAGAGAGAATAAAGCTAAAAACCTAGGTTAATATGTGTTGTGTAAATGGTTATCCCTTATAAATCAACAGAATTTTAGTTAGAAATCCAGTTTAGAATTTCATTTTTAATTTAAGAATTTTAAGCATAAATGTAACAACTAATTTTTTCCTTATTACCTTTCCTGTAAAAGTGCCCCAAAGATGATTATACAGCCAGTTAACTGGCTAGAGATTAGAAATGGTCACAAAATACACAAAAATTACATGAAAGCCGTCTTATGCACTGTGCTTCTCCCAAAAATTCAGACAGTTATGAGAGTTGACAGAAGGATCAGAACTATTGGATGCATACCCAAAGCAAACTGTCCAATCATTCACTGTTCAACCATCACTAGTCTAACTCTGGGCAAGCTAATAGTTAATGGGTAAGCTTGCACTACAGCTCTAAGATAGACTATTTTTTACTAAAGGTTGCCTATCCACTATATTTTGTGCTTATGTCCTTACATGTACTATACACTACTTTTTATAATGAACAGAAAGCTGTTGGTGATAGAGCCAGCTAGTGAAAAAATGGTGTGCTTCCTGCAAGTGTCTTGAGGTTTCTCCAGGTGATGAACTTACTCACTGAGGTAAATAATGGCGATGTCTCTAGGATTTCCTGGAGAGCATTTCAGACTGCACAAGTTTCTGTATGCAGCATTGTTGTAGTTGTGTTGGTCCCAAGATATTAGAGACAAGATAGCTGAAGTGATATCATTTTTTGTTGGATCAACTTTTGTTGTTGAGAGAGACAAACTTTTGGAGCATCTCCTGAGTGCTTCTTCAGGTCACCTGCTTGTCTGTCTCTCTTAACCAACAGAAGGTGGTTCAATAAAAAGTATTATCTCATCCACTTTCTCTCCAAGTTCTTTCATGTTAGGAATGCTGTATTTTTAAAGATGTCCTCTAAGGCTACGTCTAGACTGGCCCCTTCTCCAGAAGAGGCATGCAAAGCAGGCAAGTCAGAATAGGGTAATCCGCGGGGGATTTAAATATCCCCCGCGGGATTTAAATAAACATGGCCGCTGCTTTTTTTCCGGCTTGGGGAAAAGCCGGAAAAAAAGCGGCGGCCATGTTTATTTAAATCCCGCGGGGGATATTTAAATACCCCGGGGGATATTTAAATCCCCCGCGGATTTCCCTATTCTGACTTGCCTGCTTTGCATGCCTCTTCTGGAGAAGGGGCCAGTCTAGACGTAGCCTAAGGGTATATCTACATTGCAATTGGCACTTATGGCTGGCCCAGGCCAGCTGATTCAGGCTCACCAGGCTCAGGCTTAGGTTAAGGTTTAATTGCAGTGTTGATATTTGGGCTTAAGTTCCAGCTCAATCTCTGGGATTTTCCCAACTTGTAGGTCCTAAAATCCAGGCTCCAACCCGAGTTCAAACATCTACACTGCAATTAGACAGTTGTGTAGCCCAAATCCAACAAGCGCAAGTCAGTTGGCACAGGCCAGCTGTGGGTTTTAACAGCAGCGAGACAGACATATTCAATGTTAGCCTTTTTAGATGGAAGAAAACCGTGTCTTCTTTGAGGGCATCCTACACATTCCAGCATTCTCTATGAGGAAGACGCAGAGCCTGATTCTCCACTGCCTTACAGTTTGGGTAGTCACTTACACATTTTGATCTGGTAGCAGTCTGCACCCATGTGGTGCAAAGCTGGCCGTCTCTTCTCCCAAATGCGTGCAATCCATATGTAGGAACTGGTTCACCCATTAGCAAAATATGTATAGCCACCTATGGATGGAACCCAGTAGTTGTTTGACTGTACATAACTGATTAAGATTGGAAATCAAAATGAAATAATTTAATTTAAACTTGGCCAGGTACAAAAGCTAAATACTCACACTGTATTAGGCATGCCAGGGCATTTTTTCACAAAACAATCAACGAAGTTCTGGGGCTTATGGATAGAGGGATGTTCTAAGCAAAGATATTTTGAATTCCACCTTGTACACCACCTCTGTGTGTTGGGCAAGCTAAATAGTCTCCATGCCTCAGCTATCTAATTTGTAAGGACTATACTTAATTCCATAGCGTATTATAACGGTTAGTTAGTTAATATTTGCAAATCACTTAAATAATTCTTGGCATTATTATTAAACACAACCTTAAGAAGACCCCTCAATGCCATTCTGGGACACTGAGTCAGTACCGTCTTAGGAAAGAGCACCATATCACTAAATCACAAACGCCTTCTAAAACGTCAAGGTTTTATTTACAGCTTTCCCATCCAGTCACTGGACCTTGTCTAGTTTATGAAATCTGACCACTTAACAATTTAAGGTGATGTGACTCCAGACAACATTATAACAACGTACATACTGATAAAAACTGTGATAAGGGTGTGTCTAAACTACATGGCTCCACCGATGGAGCCATGTAGATTAGGCTGATCGGCAGAGGGAAATGAAGCCGCGATTATTTAAATAATCGCGGCTTCATTTAAATTTAAATGGCTGCCGCGCTGAGCCGACAAACAGCTGATCAGCTGTTTGTCGGCTCAGCGCGGCAGCCATTTAAATTTAAATGAAGCCGCGATTATTTAAATAATCGCGGCTTCATTTAAATTTAAATGGCTGCCGCGCTGAGCCGACAAACAGCTGATCAGCTGTTTGTCGGCTCAGCGCGGCAGCCATTTAAATTTAAATGAAGCCGCGATTATTTAAATCGCGGCTTCATTTCCCTTTGCCGAACAAACAAATCTACATGGCTCCATCGACGGAACCATGTAGTCTAGACGTATCATAAGAGTGGGATATTGCAAAGGCATCTGTGTAGTTATAGGGTTTCTTCATGCAGAGCTCTTTGCAGGATCAGTTCCTAAGACACTGCTAAGAAGGCAGGAGCCTGCAATATAGCTGACAAATTAACAATCTTAAATGAATATAGAAACATTTTTTCTCTTTTTAAGGTGAAACTGGAACAAAAAGCCATATAAAGATAACATGCTAGCCCGTAGTCAACTTTGTTAAATGCATTTGCTAGTTCAGATACCTTTGTAGCTGAGGATTTGTTCATTGCTTGGTTCTATCACCTCATTGTTAATGGCAACTCCTGGATATTTGGCCTGTACTTTTGAGAGAATCTGAAGGTCAATTTCACCTGGGACACAAATATGAGACACAATAAAAAAGATTAGCTCAAGGATAAATGTGAGCATTCTACTAGCAATCATCCTTCCCCAAATCCCTAACTTTAATATAGGTCTCAGATCAACTACCTTGGTGATTAAATCCACTGTTTATGTACTGGACAGGTATCACACAAGTTCACACAGTGTAGGCTTCCACATATTGGGTCTAGCTCTGGATCCACACTGCAAATCTAGGGCATTTCTAGTCAATACTAACTCAGGCTGGTGTCAATCCAATGAACCAGAAGTAAGAACCTGTGTATCCTACTAGCAAGTCCCAAAGCCATCACAACATTCCTCCATTTGCATTTCACAAGGCTATTTACAAAGTCTTTTATGTTTTAATTTGGAGAGTAAATTAGGAGGATTTTGTCCCAAAGGTTAATTGGCTAATGAGACACATGAGGAGCAAAGAAAAAATAAGATTAATTTGAAAGCTGAAGTAAATCTCCATTTTCTTTTTTGGTGCTTAAAGTGCTTTGCTCTTTCTGTGACTGACTAAGCTGAATATTGTGTGTATGTGTTTACCGTGTAAAGCAAATGTAACAGCACTGACTCTCTATACACAAGGGATCATTCAAATCTGCTGTAGTGATTTTATTGTTAGACCTAACATATAAATTCCTAGCCCAATATATAGCAGCAGGAAAGCAACAAAATAGGATGTTAGTTTGCATGGCAAAGGAATCCAAGAACACTGCGCTGAATACTTTATAAAGGCATTGTTTGAACTGTACTGGCTGTAGAGTTTTAGTGTCCAGTGTTGGTCACCTTATTTGTATAACCATTCCATTGTGGTAGACAGAGTGAAAACAGAGGAAAACTAAAATGAACAATTAAATAGAGGGTCTTATTTCTATGGAGCAGCTGAACTTAGTCATGAAAAAAAGACAAGACTGAAGTATTTAAATTATGTTAAAGTGTAATTTTGTTGACAAGAGTAGAACTATGGGATGAGATAGAAGATAATGGAATGTATGCAAGAAGAATTTATGGAAGGGTGGTGAATATTTGCAATGGACTTCCAACTGGGTAAGTGGAGTCAAGAAGCATTAATGTGCAATGAAAGCTTTGTTATCTGGCACTCATGAGGAATGGGGCTTGCCAGTTAATTGAATGTACTGGATAACAGAGCTTATTGCTCTGCTTCCTCCTGCTACCAGCAGGTCTGGCTCCCAGCAGTTCAAGGCAGGCTGAGGGAGAAATAGGCACCTGCTATTGCATCAGCTGGTAGTGCTAGCTGTCAGAAGCCCTGCAACAGCCAGCTGGACAGGTGGGATTCAGGTGTGCACCCCTGAAGAGGCGGAGGTATTGTGTTTTGGGGCAATACTCGTTGACAAAGCTTTCACTGTACTTAGGCAAAAATGGGTATCTGTGGTGAACTGGTAAGTTGAAGAGATACAAATGTATTTTAGAATGTCCTCTTCCCATGCTCATTCCCTGCCCTCCTCCCCACCAGCTTGGATTGTTGTTTTTTGTTAGTTTTTGAACACGTAGTACTTAGGATTCCCATTATCCATGCTTCATTTTATCTAATCTCATGACACGCTGTGAGGTAGGAAAGTATTATTATGCCCATTTTACAGATTGGGATCTGAGGCACTGAATTGTCTAAGGTCACACAGGAAATTGGCAAAAGAATAGGGAACTGAATTCAGGTCACTATGTCCCAGTCTAGTGTCCTAATCCCTAGACCATCCTTCTTCTCATACCACTGAAGATATGAAGAAATCCAGGTCTTGTTTCCAGTCCTACTATTGCCTCTACAGTTTGTAAGTATACACAAACTATAGACCAGTTACTTTAACTTTTGTGCCAGGGAAGATAATGGAGCAGGTAATTCAGGAAATCATCTGTAAACACTTGGAAAGTGGCAAGGTGATAGGGACCAAGCAGCATGGATTTGTAAAGAACAAATCATGTCAAACCAAACTGATAGCTTTCTTTAGTAGGATAACAAGTCTTGTGGATAAGGGAGAAGCGGTAGATGTGGTATACCTAGACTTTAGTAAGGTGTTTGATACGGTCTCGCATGATATTCTTATCAATAAACTAGGTAAATACAACTTAGATGGGGCTACTATAAGGTGGGTGCATAACTGTCTGGATAACCGTACTCAGAGAGTAGTTATTAATGGTTCACAATCCTGCTGGAAAGGCATAACAAGTACGGTTCCACAGGGGTCTGTTTTGGGACCGGTTCTGTTCAATATCTTCATCAACGATTTAGATATTGGTATAGAAAGTACCCTTATTAAGTTTGCAGATGATACTAAATTGGGAGGGATTGCGACTAATCTGGAGGATAGGGTCATAATTCAAAATGACCTGGACAAATGACCTGGAGAAATGACCTGGAGAAATGGTCTGACAGAAATAGGATGAAGTTTAATAAAGACAAATGCAAAGTGCTCCACTTAGGAAGGAACAATCAGTTTCACACATACAGAATGGGAAGCGACGGTCTGGGAAGGAGTATGGCAGAAAGGGATCTAGGGGTTATAGTGGACCACAAGTTAAATATGAGTCAGCAGTGTGATGCTGTTGCAAAGAAAGCAAACATGATTCTGGGATGTATTAACAGGTGTGTTGTGAGCAAGACATTCTTCCGCTCTACTCTGCTCTGGTTAGGCCTCAATTGGAGTATTGCGTCCAGTTCTGGGCACCGCATTTCAAGAAAGATTGGAGAGGGTCCAGAGAAGAGCAACGAGAATGATTAAAGGTCTAGAGAACATGACCTATGAGGGAAGGCTGAAGGAATTGGGTTTGTTTAGTTTAAAAAGAGAAGACTGAGGGGGGACATTATAGCTGTTTTCAGGTATCTAAAAGGGTGTCATAAGGAGGAGGGAGAAAACTTGTTCATCTTGGCCTCTGAGGCTAGAACAAGAAGCAATGGGCTTAAACTGCAGCAAGGGAGGTTTAGGTTGGACATTAGGAAAAAATTCTAACTGTCAGAGTGGTTAAACACTGGAAAAAATTGCCCAGGGAGGTTGTGGAATCCCCATCTCTGGAGATATTTAAGAGCAGGTTAGATAAATGTCTATCAGGGATGGTCTAGACAGTATTTGGTCCTGCCATGAGGGTAGGGGACTGGACTTGATGACCTCACGAAGTCCCTTTCAGTTCTAGTATTCCATGATTCTATGAAAACTTGCACTATTACTCGTGTGTGAGTGAGACCCTATTAAAGGTACATAGAAACATGAGGAACCGTTTAATCTTTTCAGAACTAAGTACAGTAGCCTTCCGATAATCCAGAACCTATGGGATCTAGGTGGTGCCAGATTATCAGATATGCCGGACTATCAGGAGGTACTATGAGCTGGTTATATATAGGCTGGGTCTACACTGGCAAGTTATTCCAGAAAATCAGCCGCTTTTCCGGAAAAACTTGCCAGCTGTCTACACTGGCCGCTTGAATTTCCGGAAAAGAACTGACGATCTAATGTAAAATCATCAGTGCTATTCCGGAATAACTATGCTGCTCCCGTTCGGGCAAAAGTCTTTTTCCGGAAAATTGTCCCAGAAAAGGGCCAGCATAGACAGCACAGCAGTGTTTTCCGCAAAAAAGTCCTGAACGCGAAAATGACGATCGCGGCTTTTTTGCGGAAAAGCGCGTCTAGATTGGCCACGGACGCTTTTCCGGAAAAAGTGCTTTTCCAGAAAATCGTCCTGCCAATCTAGACGCGCTTTTCCAAAAATGCTTTTAATGGAAAACTTTTCCGTTAAAAGCATTGCCGGAAAATCATGCCAGTGTAGACGTAGCCATACTGTATACATTATATACTGTATATAAAGTGTTTTTAACCCTTTTTATTGTACATACTGTATACAGTATACTGTAATGGTTTAGTTTTTTTAAGCCTTTTTTACCCTTTTTGCTCAGTTCAGCTGCTGCCGCTGTTGCCTTGTGACTCATTTTTTGCTGAAGCTCACTCACTAGGCTCTTGCCATTTTGATGCCGGACTATCAGGAGTGCCAGACTATTGGATGCCGGACTATTGGAGTTTTACTGTATCTTTTTAAAAACAAATGTTTACCTGGCATTCATGTTCTTTCAAGAAAGAGAAACAGAATTTCAGAAGGAACAAATAGCTGTGGTTTTGCTGTTACCACAAAAGTTGCTTTTTATTGAAGATCAGAACAAATTAATTTGTTCACAGTCTGCTGTGGGAAAATCTGAGAACATGGAATTGTTAACTACTACAGAATCCATTTTCTGTATCAAATTTATGTACAATGAATTATACCTTTGGAAAGGCTGTGCCGGTCTCAGTAAAAGAAGAGTCTGCATTTTACCTGTCCATATTTTGATTAGTTAACATATTCATTTCCACTCTGCCATGGCCACACGGACCTTACATTGTTTTGAAACAAACAGACTAACACACAAACAAAAACTTTCAGCCATGACTTTATCTACAGCCTTAATTAACTTTAGTTAGTTCTTTTATTTGCAAACAGGTGTCCTGAGGCATTTTATAGTCAAATATGTGGCAGCTTGCATTATCAACAATTTGGCAATTAGTCTATTGGAAGTATTGAAACTCTCTAATACAATTACCTTTTAAAGGCTATCACAATGTTCACCATCAAGTTTCTAATTAAAAATTTAAATAAAGGGATAGTTTACAGCACAGTTGATGCCTTTTATGTTTTTTACAGGTACAGCAATATTAGGAAGTTGTGCACGGAAGCGGAAACTTAATAAGACATTAGCTGTAGTCAACAGCAGATTTTCTCAATCATCTGGCATAATGGGCCTGAACAGTTATATTGAATGGCTGGCCTTAGTGGGAGTGCACAAGAGATGAGAGAAACAGGATGAGTGCATGGAATCATCTTCTCACCTGTACTTTCTGCACCAAGGACCAGTAACAATAGTACTCCATTGCATGTTGGAGATCCCAGGAAGGGACGAGTCCCCAGGAAGCACAATCTTTCCTGAACTCTGATGGGGGGGGGGGTTATAGTTTCATACTGGTCTGAATATGGACCTCAGACTCAGGCTACAGCATACTTATAAATGAAAATGGTGCAAGCCCATTAAAATAATGAACAGCTGAATCTTCCTTATTGGTTCACAAACACTCCAGAAAAGTGGGAGGGAGAAGGAGGAGAATGAAATCTCAGCAAACCAGAAATCAACTTATTCTTAAAGTACAACTGTAGCTGAGTGAATGAGTTTTCTTGAGTGTAGCATATGATTTTAATCCATTCTCAGGGCCAATGAGAGTCCAAGATTTTCAGTTATGGTCAAATGAACAATTGCCTCTTTATTGAAACCCTGTCTGTCACACTGAGCTGCGTCACCCTGATGAGATGGTTATGTGCCCCATTAACTGACTGAAATGATCCTGTGAGAAACAAGACTCTTTTTGGCAAAAAAAATCCCCCTTGTTTTATCCAGGTCTACCCTCGGGCAGAAAGTTGACTTATGATACGTAAGTCCAGCTACAAGAATAGCGCAGCTGGAGTTGACTTATCTTAAGTCAAATATCTGCGTCATTCTCATTGTGGGAGGGATGACTCTCCCATCATCTTCCCTTATTCCTTGTGACCCCATGGATGTCCTTACTAGACTTGCTAAATCAAACCCTGGAACATCGATATCCAGAGCATGGATCTCTGGGTAAGTGTACACCTGGCATTAGAAATAAAAGCCCCATCTCTATCTCCCTGTGTAGGTAATAACTAGTAACTTGGGGTATGTCTACACTACAGCACTAATATGAACTAACTTAATTCGAATTAGTTAATTCGAACTAAGCTAATTCGAACTAGTGCAGGCTGCAATCCGGAGGGGGGTCAATCAAGGGGCTTCAGGAGAGTTTCCACCCCGAGGAGCCCGCAGAGCCACTCCAGCCCTCCCCATTCCTCCCATTCCTCCCTCACCATCGTACCCCATTCCTCCCTCACCTCCTTCCACTTACCCCTCCCTAGCCCCCCTTCCTGATGTACAAAAGCACATGTGTGTTCAAAAATGGAAACTCTCTTTATTGAACAAAACTCGGGGAGACTGGGAAAAGGAGGTGGGAGAGGGGAAGAGAGAGGGTGGGAGGGGGGGGGCAGCTAAAATGATCAGGGGTTTGGAACAGGTCCCATATGAAGAGAGGCTAAAGAGACTGGGACTTTTCAGCTTAGAAAAGAGGAGACTGAGGGGGGATATGACAGAGGTCTATAAAAGCATGAGTGGCGTGGAAAGGGTGCATAAAGAAAAGTTCTTCATTAGTTCCCATAAAGAAGGACTAGAGGACACCAAATGAAATGAATGGGTAGCAGGCTTCAAACTAATAACAGAAAGTTCTTCTTCACAAAGCAAATAGTCAACCTGTGGAACTCCTTGCTACAGGAGGCTGTGAAGGCTACAACTAGAACAGAGTTTAAAGAGAAGTTAGATAAATTCATGGAGGCTGGGTCCATGGAGTGGTATTAGCCAGGGGGTAGAAATGGTGCCCCTGGCCTCTGTTTGTGGAAGACTGGAGATGGAT